TTGATTGAAATGACAATCAGAAATATTCTTGCACTTGTCTTGCAGAAATAGAGAAACAGGCCCATTGTTATCATTAATTCATTTGCGCTCAGGGTCACCAATTTATTGGAATGTTTTTGGTTTCTCATTCATAGTTTCTCATCAACTTCGATACCCTGTATCTCAAGAGTTGGGATGTTCACGACATACGTTCATGAGGAGTATTTTTTCCAGAAATGGCCCTCTTCATATATTAGCATATCATTAAGGAACAATCTGTAGCAGAGTATCTGCAGTGATGGTGCCTGACATGTCATTCGATCTATATAAAATGAATTGAGAAGATACAATGATATGCACAATTCACATAGGAGTCAGAGTCAGATTCAATCGATAGAAGACCTCAGTTTATTGTCAATGAAAAACATCCTCTTGTTTGATCGCCTGAAAATTAATCAACCTGTAAAGCACCATTCTGTCTATACAGAGCCGCTTTCCAATTGAAAATTTGTTACCCCTAGAATAAACCAATACTAACCCACACTTGAACTAAACCAGGATGTTGTAATTAGAACATAATTTTCATCTGAATATTTTCAGTGACATTATATTGGCGGATTTGGCTCGAAATTTGAATTTGAATTTTTGAACGTGTGTAATGTCTCATCTCACACATTTCATACTAAATAACCCACAGGAAATAATGCTGAAGCAAATTGAAACACTATAGAGTAGGTAGGTAGTCAAAATTCTGATGATGAGGCTGAAGTGGATAATCACGATAAAAAGAAAAATAATTAAACTCAAAAATGAAGATACTGTATTGCTGTTGTGCTATTAGCTTTAGAGTAGTCACCAGTTTATGATGATGAAAAGAAGGTCGTTAATTTAATTGCTGTTTTCTACTTAGATCTAATGAATAATACTAGCGTTTTTAACAAATAATAATCATTTCAAAAAACAAACATACATCTGACGCGTCTGACAGTAACTTTTTTGCTTTACCTGACTATTTTTGAGTTTGTTACCCTTTTGTAAAAGCTGGTGCACGAGGGAAAGCATTGATCAGTTCGAGTGCTCCAAGCTCTTTTGTAATGGATACGCTGTTGATCAGTTCAAGATCTGCTCGAGTTTCTAGAAATAGACACTTCATGAAACTCAAAGTATCGCTTTTTATGCCTGTGAGACCTTGTATATCATGTACTTTATATCATTATCTGCACTGATACATTGTTGTGCGAAGATTTTGGATGAACTGGCGTAGTTCGGTCCTGGATGCACCTGTTGTGATCTGTATCAGGGCCTACTATACGAGGCGGTACGGACTGCTTCAATAGGCTCCAGATATCGTGACAACAGTCACGGATGCATCAAAGATTTATGTGGTCGTAAAGAGAGGTCGAAATCGATAATCCCGATAAAATACCGGGTTTATGATGTCGTTTCCGATACTTGCGGCTTTTGTAGTATTGGTGACTGTAGGATCGAAACAATTCGGACGTATCTCACGGGAACGTGATATTCTAGTTGTACGTTTTGTAAGTGAACATTTTACGTTACCAGTGAATGTTCTCACATACCACAGATCAACAAACCTTATTTGTTAATCTGTGCCTATAAGTAGTATCATCTTACTAATCCATATACAGGGTGTCCCGAAATTAGCCTATCAAACTTCACCAGCTGCTTCCATGATCAAAAATAGGAAGAAAAATTCCGATGAACATGAGTCGGATGTCGACTGAAAAGCAGATGATATTTCTTGAATCTTTCCGAAACGTCATGTGATAAAATGATGCAATTCAGTACGAGTGCTAAGTGAAGTTTGGCAGGCTAATTTCGGTGCCTGTATAATCATGCACATACAATCTTGATTCATTATTGATGCATCAATACAGTGTGTGCCAGATTCGCTTCTATTAGGTATACATACCTACAGCAAAGGTTGGATGAGGAACGTTTCAGAGATCGGTACAATAGTAGCCGAGATCCCTGTATAGAGAAGCGAATCTGGGACACACTTTATATTGGGCGAATGTAAAAACTCGATGACCAATAATTGACACAGCGTAAAAAGGAAATGAACAAATTTAACTTATTTTCATGGAGTTTTCCGAGATAGATGCCGCCCTAGAAGATTGAATTTTCTTTATTCCTTTGACTATTCCGTGATATGACATCGAAATTGCCCCAGCCGATCGTGTAACTGCCAACCGATTTCAATATATAAACGAAAAACGGGAAAGAAAAATACCCATCACATATTGGCACTCGGATATATCATAGCTATGAATTTATTTATGCAGGGAAAGTGCGATAAAAAAATATCGATAAAGAGAGAAGATTTTGTGAATGTTCAGATCAAGATATCAATCGGACATGGTGTCTCACTTTCCCAATCTATATGCCAGTTAGTTTGAAAAGCTCAACAAGGTGGAAAAATCATGAAGATCACGTAATCTGATGTCACTGATTCCATTTTTTTTTTATCCAGTAGGAGCATTAATCTCTTGCTCAACCCAAACGAACAGAAAGCTCGATTTACTGCTTAACACGAACGAACACAAAGCAGTGGCACAAATCATTTCTGAACATAGCCTAATCTGAATAATTTCCAAATTTGTTTGCATTTGGTTTTGATTGAAAGTTTTGATCGTTGATGTAGATCGAGAGAAAAGAATAAGTGATTGAAATGATAAAACCGTTGGCATTATTCGAGAATGATGTCCGAGTTTGCGTTCAGCCATAATTATACGTTATCGTTGCATTTTGCGCCATTTTCTTTGTTTGCATTCGTCATTCAACTTGATCAATCTGATTTGACTTTTCTGCTCCCTGAAAATTCGCGGAGCAAATAAATCCTGCTTCAAGTAATCTATGGCAACTTGCTCAAGTCAAACGAACACTCAATCATCAATTGCTCGGAACAAACGAACATCAAATATTGCCCACATCACTTTTCAGCAGGGTGAGCATGACAAACGAACAGGCCTAATATGTTCAATTTCTTCACTTCATTCAGCTTGCAAAATTTGGCTGTATGATAATATTTTTGCTTGAATATAAGTATGCTGTACGAAGAAAACATGTTTTTTCTGTGACGGGAAAAAAGTTTGGCATTTCATCTCTGTTGGCAGGTTATAAAATGTCACTTTTCATAAATTACTTTTTTCCCGTGGGAAAAAAGTGAGTACTTCTTTCCCGGATATATATCACATATATATACTCTGTTAATGGCTTTTGTTGTGCTATAGTTCCGAAAAATAAGTCAATAATACCGTCTCCGAGAAAGAACTGCAAGTCCTTTTATCTTCCATTCGACTTCGCGGTTTCGTATATTACTAAACAACTACTGAATTCGCAATTTTTTGAAATCAAATCACAGAATTGAACTGACAGAAGTGACATCAGATATTTGATTACTTCAAAAGAATGATAAAGATGACTATAAAACGCAGGTGTCCCTACTGTTTAAAACTTGAAATTTCACTTCGATAATTTTCAGATTTCGAAATAATGTAATATCTTCTCAATATTGATTCATCCTTCCTTCTGTCACAGAAAAAAATAGTGTATTATACACGGGAAAAATATTAGACTTTAGCTCACGGTTTTTTGTCTCCCTCCGCTACGCGTCGGGAGACAACACAACCTGGAGCTAAAATCTACTACTTTTTTCCCTTGTATAATAAATAACTATTTTTGATCAAATACGTTTCTCTGAATAACAGCAATACCAAAAATATATGCGGAGTTACCTAGCGAGAAAACTCGTGGGTTTGGTTCAATTTTAGGGCGCTAGGTAGTCCTTTGAAATATCACATCCGATATCGTATGAAAGAGCATAAGCTGCTTTTCAGATGAAATATCACATACATAGTGGCTTTAATCTCTTTCGAATACTGGAATTCACTCTTGAACCGATGGTTTAAAGCATTTTCCGTACTAACACATTAACTAAATCTCATCCACTGTTAACAACTCTGTAATTCGGATTTTAACTGGACGTGAATGTAGTTGATTTATATTTTTGCTCTTGGCAAATGAAATATTTAAATAATACAAGGTGTTTCTGAAATAAGTTCACATATTCTGCATCAATATAACACAGTCTAAGGAATATTACCAGGCATGATATCAGATTTCTTCTAATCCTTCTAGTTAACGAGAAATTACATCCCAAAAATTTCAACTGTTCATAGTTGCAGAAATCCACCAGCTTTTTCTAGTGATTTGAGGAGAGGCTGAGGTTTTTAATAAAAAATATGGCACTATTTCAAGGAAATGTTGTTCATCTGTTAATGCTAGATATCGCAAAAGCGGTAATTCTACGACTAGAAAGTTTTAAATACCTACCTTATTGTTAGTGAAAACGAAAATTACCTATTTCACTGGATGGATAGCATCAAACAATAGAATTTTGAGGAATTCTCAAATCCATCCTTAAATTTCGGAAAATCTATCTCATGCCAAAAGTATTGGTTTTAGAAGTTTTGATACCATCAATAGAACCACAGATAGAAGGCGTTGGTGGGCTACTTCCATTTTACTACATGTGAAAATAAATATCAGTTGAATTTTTAGCACTTGAATAATATTTATAAGTAATGCCTGGTCTTTCAGATACTTGCTGCTTTATATTTACTTGCACGAGGATGCTATCAGGGGGACTGATTCCAAGTGCTTCAAGTGCTTGTAAAGTATATCAATTTTTATGTTAATTTCACGTTGAAATGGCAAAAATATAGCAATAATCGATGAAATAGTAGATGAATGACTAACTTCACTCCTTCATTCATACCACCGAGTGAAAATGTAAAAAACTAACCACATTGATGAATGTTGTTCTTATAGAATACCAAATATGAATAGTGGAAATCCTGAGGTGTCAAACAAAGTGTCACTTTTGATCCTAATAAAACAATCTACTATTTTCATCAGACCAATTCCTAGAATAAGGATGTTTTTGCAGATTGGTAGTAAATTTAAAAACCATCGATATGAACATGCTGTGTACTCACATTCATCATGATCTTTGGCGGTGACAGTGAGAACGGTGTGTTGTATGTCTTCATTTTCGTCGACTTCAGCTTCATAGAGGGCCTTGTCGAAATACGGAGGATTGTCATTCTTGTCAGCGATACCAATACGGATGAATTTTGTCACTGAAAAATAAGAAAAATAAGAATGTTATTGAATCTCAAGTAATAAAATTCATGGCAATATGATCTATTCGTTCAAATATTTTTCATAATTTTTCTCGAATATTTTCGATAAAACAGGCCATAGCTTTTAAGGCTAGCGGACAAAATTTTGGGATTTTTCACTTTGACATTTACTTCATGTTTTAGTAACGCCAACTGGTGAGAGTGAAAATGTTTGCCTTTATTTATCTATACTAATATTATAAAGAGAAAAGATTTGATTGTTTGTTTGTATTGAATAGGCTCCGAAACTACTCAATCGATTTGGCTGAAAATTGGTGGGGAGGTAGCTCAGAACCAGTAGAAGGTTATAGGATACTTTTTATCCCGGTACCATTACGAAATTCAAGATGGCGGATCTAATATATCGGACGAGTTTTGTAATTATAGTCCGATTCCATTCAAAATTGGTATCTGGAGAATTTGTAAATTCAAGATGGCGGAACCCATATGGCGGATGAGTATTGTAGTTATAATCCGATTTTTTAAAAAAATGGTACCTAGGGGTTTTCGTGATCGGGGATTATGATGCCTTCGTCAAAATTGAAAAATTAAAGATGGCGGATTTTGTAATAAGTATCCGATTTTATTCAAATGTGGTATCTGGTGGTTCTCGGGGTCGGAGATTATGATCAAAATCAGGAAATTCAAGATGGTGAACCCAATATAGCGGACGAGTATTGTAATAATTATGATCCGACTCTCCTCAAAATTGTTATCTGGGTGTTTTCGGGGTCGGAGATTATGATTCTTTCGTCAAAGTTTGGAAAGGACGAAATTAGGAAATTCAAGACGGTGGAACCAATATACCGGACGAGTTTTGTAATTATTTTTTTTATTGCTTAGAGCGCAAGAAAGGAAATCCCTATAATGTTCAGAGAACATCGTGCGTTCCTAGGGAGGATAGGGACAGGAGGTAGGTATTGTGATTTTTTTTGTGAGTGGGCTTTGTCGGGATCAAATATTATGATATCTTCGTCAAGATTAGGGGATTCAAGATGGTAGTTCCAATATTGCGGACAAGTTTTGTTATCATGTTCGGGTTCTATTCAAAATTTTCATCTGGGGTTTTAGGATGATTCTTTCGTGGGAAATTTAAGTGAACTATAAAGAAGTTGAAATAAATGGTCGTTAGAAAAACTAAAGAAACACACTTTTATAGATAGCGAAACTAAGAAGAAGTAGAGAATAAAATAATAATAGTGTCTTGATGAGAATTGAACTGAAAAAATATATTATAGAAATGATGTATACAGCAAAACAACGTTTGCGAGGTCTGCTAGTTAGTAAATGAATATCGATTGCGATGGAGCCATAAAAAATTGTCTTCCTTCAAAGTCAAAATTAATTGCTGTTCAACTCTTGATGGACGTCCAATTAAAAACTTCATCACTACGATATTCTTCTTCGAATTTGATCAATGAGATATAATAATGTTTCAATAAAAAATAAATATCTCTGATTGAACAAACACAATTAAGTAGTTGGAACCGAGAGCAAACATTTAATTCACTAGAAAATTGTGCTTCCTCGTTGGATACCTGCGTTGAATAAAATATCAGTACACATCTGCATGCAATTCAGCACCATTGGAAGTACAAAAGGTCCGAAAAGTTATCGCAATACTCCGAATATAATGGAATTACGGGGGATTTTTTCAATTTGCGATGTGCAAATACCGCTGTTGAAATTTGAAATGAATGGATGGAAAAAATTGGAGTTGTTGCGTTCATTCTGGATTAACAGTAAAAATGGGCTATATTAGGGAATCGTGTTATATTCTCGAATTCCTGACTACGAAAAATCAACCGTACGAACACAAAACATCTCTTCAGTGTCGCCTATGATACGACGATATAGCGTCATAGTCTTCTGATTTAACCTGGCGTTGGTAATGTGGGGTATGAAAAACCGACAAGTTTTTAAAGCGACAATTTCGAGAACTGGCAAGACATTTGCATGTGCATCTTAATAGCTCAATTTTAGTTCTTTATCCATCGTCTGCTGTCGTTGTTTCAGTATATTCTCAGTTCTGGTGCAATTACAGGTGCGTAAAATGCTCTAGGGTGTATTAAAACACTTTTGTTACATTAGATTTTTCAATGAATATATGAAAATTGCATTATACCGTGAGTAGCTAATCAGTCTTGATCCACAGAATCGTAAAATGATAAATGTCAATGAAAGAGAACAACGATCTTACGAAATCTGTAGGGATAGAATTTATTACCAAGCAACTCATTCACAGTAATGACAACCAACATTTGCCAAGGGATTTACATATGAAAATTTGAGAAATGGCTGGAGAATCTGAAATACCAATAGACAAACGGCATAATATGCCATCTTGAATAGTATCTGTAGGGAAACGTCGCTGCCAAATTTCAGCAAATCACGATGGACCATTCTCGAAATATCGACAATTAACGTTATATGACAATTTCACACGATACCTTCAATCTTTGTTATGGAGGGTCAAAAAAAGTTTTTATATATATACATCAACTCTCCTCGATTTTTTCTATTCACCATTTGGCTATGTGAGTCTCTGAATTACCTTTGATCACATTCCTATGCAGTCAAAATCGAAACACCACTCCTTTTCTCGTAAGACATCGTCACGAATTGTTTTTTAAAAAAATTCCATTCTGCCCCCCTTTGAAATTGGAATCCACGAAAATATCTGTCTCTGATCAGTGTTCGCAGTTTAGTCACTGGAGTACTGTGAATTCAACTTTTTGCGAGCACTTCCGCTTGAAAAATATAAATATTCATAGTACTATAGTACTACAAGTACTTAGTATGATAGTAGAGAAGCTATGAGTGTTCTGGGCCAAAATTATATGCGATAATGGTGTTGTACACACTAGTCGAATCTACGCCACAAACCTATTTTATTTTGATAATTCCGTGTATAAATGGTATTCTATGCAATCATTCTCTATTTAAAATCATCGCGAATATATGTTTCTCAATGAGAAAAATCGGCATCTTCGAAATACGCCAGCATCGAAGACCTCATGAACCGAACCGCAATTCATCGTTATGGGAATTCCGGCTTTCCCATGGAAAGAGATTCAATATGACTAATGACAACAGTATTCACATTCATAGAAGTCAATAGGTTGACCTGGATCCTGATAATCACTTATTGAATACTTATATACTCGCAAGATGCTCCAGAACCAATGAAAATATCCTAGTATTCCCAAAAATGATCAAGATTTCATTCAAACCCAAATTATTATATTGTCAACCCAACTTCCTAACGTCACCTTCAACTTCAAATCCTTGTTTCATCTAGTCAAGATGCGAATATTCAAAGATATTCTTTTTATTATCTGATTCTTCAGTTGTGTTTTGTGTTCTTTGTTATTTGCAGTAAGTATTCAGTCCAGAAAATCCACTAGAGTCTATGGTGAGCACCTTCTGAGGAGGCGAACCTTTTTCATATTTCGACCGAAATGACAATAAGCAATATTCCTTCACTTGTCTTACAGAAATAGATAATCGATACTTATGTCGAATTTATTGGGATTATGAAGTCACGCGTTTTCCTGCGTTCTTCATGTTACGGAATATCGTGAATTTCAATAATTATTTGAAAAATGTTCTGAGCTTCAGGAAATAACGGTTTGCGACAGTAAACTAGGTCAGAACTTTCATATAATGAATGAAATTTGCCACTGAAACAGGCCTATTATCAAGTTTCTCTTGGTTAAAATTGAACATTCTTTGAGTGGGGATCAACTCCCAACTTGAAGTGGAACTATATATTCAATTAGCTTGAGGTGTAGTTACGTAAGGATGGAAAATTGACCGATATCGAGTACCCCAGTTTAGGATGACACGTGTTAACTAGGTTCCCTGCCTTTTTTATACTGCTGATCGAATATTATATCTCAAAAAACAATTTCATCACAGGCAATACCTCATCTCGAGATTTTACGTCGAGAAATGTGATTCAATTTACCTCGAGAAGTTTCCTTGATATATCATTACTGGAAATACCCTCGAAAATACCTCTAGCTTGGCATGTTTGTGGAAACGAATCAGAATCAGTTTCTGCTTCATTCTCTTCCCCTTCACAATTCACATATCACTTCTCAACCAGTAGTCTGACATAGAAATATCATGTTCCATGAACCGATATTTGTTCCTTTTGTGCGTGTCTTCATTTCACCACAAGCATAATGAGAAATAAAGATTAATGGTCGGAAAGCTACACTTAACAAGAAAAAACTCGGCATCACACGCATAACAAGATTAATGACTGATGAGATTAGATCCCGACTTCGAACTTCACAATGGAGAAGAGTTCGAAAAGTTTTGGCATGAGGCGCATTTATCTGCAATTTCAAAGGTCAGTCGAAAAAATAGTGCCATTAGAGCAAGCCGTTTTTCGGAAATATTCGAGAGATTGGTTGAACTTGAGGAAACATCATCAAGAAAACGTCGGTTGTCGTTCGTTTTTGCGAGATCTGGAAAAATAAAATTTCATTGCCGGTTAATCTTATAGACTTTCCGGAGAAAATGAAGTGGAAATGTGCTAGCTGATTATGAATGAATTCTGAATTTATGCTGAGATAGCATTAAGCTTCAGGAAATATCAGCTTTGATGTAATCAAATGCCTTTGTCGAGAATTCATTACTAATGAGATATATTCATAGATTTATTGCCTGCAAAGAGTTTTGATCTTTCATTTCACTCCAACATATGCTACGAACGTAAGTTCTCCTCTTTTATTCGTATAAGAATTGAATTCAAACGATTCGAGAATTGACCCCCTTGGTGGGCAGAAACATTACTGACTTATTAGTTGGCCAGGTAGCCGTGCGGACAGAGTGTCTATATTCTAATTTGCATTCGCTTGCCAGTCGTGGGTTCGATCCCCGTCGACTGCAGAAATTTTTCTGATGGCCCAAGAAAGTGTTTGGGATCACACGTTAAAAGGTAAGGC